TGATTGGCTGCAGCCACAGATGTGTGATCCCTGGAGATATACTGCCAGAGGACATTTTGTTTTGAGAGAAGTGTTTCAGATTTGCTGCTTGTTATATTAGAACTATCAATTAATCATGCACACTGACCATATGTATATTCCATAATCAGGGATTTTCCTGTAGAAAACTTGAGCTACCACCTTCATGTTTACCACCTTCAATTCACAATCAGCACAGCCCACCTGTTACTACAGTCAATTAACTATTAGCTATTTAAAAAAAAACTATTTTGTAATACAAGTCTATTTAATGCTATACTGTAATTCTGTTCTTATAGTCAGTAAGAATTTGTAAAATATTTTTAAACGGAGTATCTCTTATGTTCACCAAGGCTGCATTTATTTGATCAAAAGTGTAATATTGTGAAATATTATTACAATTTAAAATACTTCTTTTCTATTTGAATACATTTGAAAATTTACTTTATTCCTGTGATTGTAAAGTGATATTTAGCAGCCATTACTCCAGTATTCAATGTCACATGAAATATGTTTATTTGATGCCCAAGCAACATTCCCTATTATTATCACTGTTGTGCTATGGTTGTGCTGCTTAATATTTTGAGGAAACGATGATTTGTTTTTTTTCTTTTCAGGATTCTTTGATGAATAGGAAGTTTAAATGAACAGCATTTGTTTGAAATTTAAATTGTTTGTAATATTGTAAATGCCTTTACTGTCACATTTGATAAATTTACTGTAATCTTGAGAAAAAAATTCGGTAACACTTCCAATTCTCACTATTAACTAGTTGCTTTTTAGCATGCCTATTATTAACATATTGGCTGTTTATTAGTATTTATAAAGCCCATATTCTGTATGACCATTTTCTACATCCCTAATCCTACCCAATACCTGAACTTATCAACTACCTTACTAATTATTAATAATCAGCAAATTAGGAGTTTATTAAGGCAAAAGTCGTAGTTAATGGTTTGTTTTTGAACAGTAGTGTATATTTCATATTACTAAGTAGATTTTGTCAGCAGATATTTGCATGTATGATTCATTAGATGAATTAATCCTAATATTGTGTTTAATTAAAACCAAATCTTTTATTCACAAAAGCAACTGCACAGTGTATGACTTAAAGCATTTTCAATAAACGATTCATTTTACTGGTCGCTGGTATGCCTGCCACCTCCACACTGAAGTTAATTTTAGTTTAATCAGGAGTTAAAGTCAAGAGTTTAAATTTACCCATGAATCTCTGCGTCGGTTTAAAAGAATTCCAGGCCACAGATTGGCTGCAGTAGTACAGCTGATGCCAGTGAGGCTTTTGGGACTCCATATAATCACACACCATTGCACCATACAGCTGAGATGTGCTTATCTTTATCTCTCTCTCTTCCTCTTTCTCTCTAAAATGTTTCTATTACAGTCGAGAATGTGAGTGGAATACTCAGATCCCTCATTACCTTAAATTAGCGCTTCAGTGTTTGCCCACCATCCCGGTCTGCATTGTCGACAAAGTGTATGTGCAATTCTCCCTCCCTCAGTGAGTGCGTGTGCACTGTAGGTGGTTAGTAACTGCCATCAAAAGCATTTCATCTCTAGATATTAAAAAAGAAAGCTATTTCTGGAGTCATAAAAACGGTTTTCAAGGGAATTTAACAAAGTTTTCTGTTAGGATTCTCTCCAAAGGCATTACAGCCTGAAGAAACACTCCGCATCAGTGCAGTGCCCACTGTTGTAATTTTGCATGTTTACTGGGCCTCCCCTTGAGGAAACTGCAACAACTCACTCTCTCTCTCAATCTATCTAAACACTCACGGGTACAAGCTCATATACTTTCACAACACGTTCTGCATATATGTACACACACACACACACCTCCATATGTCAGGTATCTCCAGGGACCGTATTGTTGACCTGATTTCGATGTGGTCTTACGCTGGAATGATGTCACTGGCAGCTGTGAAGTACTCGGTCACATGTCCAGAGTGTGAGTTCCCTGGCGACGCTGCTCGCCTTATTAACTCAAGACACTCGGCGCGTCTCTGAGAACAGTCCAAATGCCAGCGGATCAATGAGTGGGTGACGTGATCGGTCCCACTCTGTTCTAGGTTTCTCTTCATCTAATAAATAGGACTCTTATATTCAATGACTTCATTTACTGAAGGCTGAGTGGATCCTTCTGACAAGCCTCCTGTGGGCTGTCATCTCAGGTCTCTGTGGCCTCATGGTTTACTTTGATTGGCTGTATTACTCAGGATGTTTGAGTCCTGATTGGATGATTAATTCATTTATGTATGCATGCATAAATTAATTCATGAAGTGTTAAATCTAGCAAACAATTATATGTTAGGTTATGTTATGTTATGTTATGTTTAGGCATGGGACGATAACTGGTTTCAGGGTATACCGCGGTTTGGAAAAGTCACGGTTTCAAAACCACTAAAATTTCCCGTTATACCATTCCTGCGGAATGCACAGTTTTTTTACGTGTTGTCAAAGACGGAAAGTGTGTACACAACGGTGTTCCATACAGATGACGTTTTAGCTTCGATCGCTAAATAAATACTTCCAGGTCGAACATAAACTATATATCGTCTATACTTTTAAGCCTCCTGCCATTGTTTACATCAGTTCAAAATCACGACATTTACAAAACAAACTGTTGTACGGAGAGACTGTGTGTGTGTGTGTGTGTGACACTCGCGCTCTCTCTTTCCTTATGTGTGTATGTGCACACATCCTCGTACCTCACTGCTCCAAACCATAGCTCCAAACTTAATCCGGGAAAGGTGAATATTTCTGCATCATAACTTGGACTGAAAGATAGATGTGTAGAAAGTGAGCATGTCTCCAAAAATGTCTCAGGTTACGTATGTAACCATGGTTCCTTGAGGGAACGAGACGCTGCGTCGTAGGACGCTTCGGGAACGCCCTTCAGCGTGACCGGCTCTGAAGATGAATGTGTAGAAAGCGAGCATGTCTCCAAAAACCTTGTTGAGCTGCAGGTTTATGCATGCATTTTTTATTATTTTTTTTATTTTAGTTTTTACAGAAATTATGTTTTGATTATATTTTTGATTATTAAGCTGCAGGTTTAGGCTCACTTAAGTGGCTCCTTTTTTTCTTTCATTTATAGGGATTTTTTTTTTTTTTACAGAAAATAATTTATTTATGTTCTGATTATTGTTGAGTTGCAGGTTTAGGCTCACTTAAGTGACTGCATTTAATTAAGAAAAATTTAATTATTTATTCTAATTATTTAGCCTGACATGTTTACTGTTCCAAAATGTTCTATATGTTTCTTAAAAA